TTTGAGAATTTTTCACTTTATGGCTAATTAAATCTAGAAATTTCTTATTATTAGAAATACCATTATTACTTATTGTATTTCAAGCTTGGATTGCTGATTATTTGGGTTTATTCTTATAATTTAGATAAGCTATTTGTATAATTGTTGCTTTTCCAAAATTAGTCTTTGGTTTATTGCATTTGCGATTCCAATGTTCTTGCATCAGGTCTTTAGATTTGAGACAATCAACATACATCTGTCTAGTAAAATGGAATATTTTTTTAGGATTTACATTAACAATTTTTATGAGTTTCCAGCAACCAAAACAAATAGCCATATGACTTTTATGAACCTTTGATCTGTAATAATCGAAATTGACAAATTTACCTATACCAAATGACATAAATAAATAATATTGATGATATACACTAAATTTTCTGGCGGGTAATAAATTCTGTAATGGAATTTTTATTTGTATTGCCTATTGAACAGGCGTTTCATTCTGTTTTATAATAAATAAGATATCAAATAATCCCTTATTATCGAAAATTTGATTGAGTTCATTAGCATTAGTTCCGCCATAATATAATATATATAATATGGCATACTTCATATCAAAACCAGGACGATTAATATATAGTTTAGGAAGTGTTTTATCTTTTTTATCAATGATAGTAGCCATATCAAAACCAGACATATTTATTGATTATATGAGATGAGCATTATTGATTATTGGCTATTATATACACAATATCCTCCACACTCAACCTTGAAATAGTTAACGCAGAAAAAGACTTAATACAATTATCTTAACTTTCCCTCCAACCCCATCAAAAGGTTTAAAGATCTTTATTGCACTTTCTTCCTTTTTCTAAGACTATTATTATTTTCAATGTTATCAAATGTATTAAAAATGTGGAAAAAAGAACATCTAAATCAATGATGGTAATTCTGAAGGTGATCCACCAGGACATGGAGATTTAGGAGATGATATTTGATTTTTTTCCGCCTTCTTTTTCTTTAATGGTGTATTGTCAATTGAAGCTAAATGGAGATTATTGTCTCCTTGTATTATCTACTGAGATTGCTTTATTTACTGCCCTGACTGTTGAAAAGACATCAGCCTATAAAACAAAGAGTAGTTATTATAAATATTTGACAAGATATCTAAAAATATTCATTTTCAATCCTTTACCTGCCAATTCATTAGATCTTTTAGATCGTTAGTGAATTGTTCAAAGTCTTCAAAGGAGGTGGGTAATTTGGTGCGCATAAAGCGTTGAAGTATATATATCGAAGGAATTGGCTGAACTAAATATTTAATTTCGATAAACCCATCTATAAGAAAATATTAAGTATATACAAGTGATCAAACTTCATAATATTTAGTTTCTGATTGCAATAATTACTAAAAAATTTCACTAAATATACTTGTGCACGGTCCTTTGGTATAGATTTAAACAATTTGTTTAGAGTTTTCATTGCGTTTCTACACAATTTTAACAGATTGTCACTTTTTTTGGACTCAGGTACCTTTCTTCCATATGAAAATTCTATAATAATTATGACCTGGCCTTTACCAGTCCCCCGATCACTTTGTACAATCCATCAAATTTATGGCCTTTTGTGTCTGGAGTAGTTTGTTCAATCCTTAATTAAGCAGCCAAGATTAGTAAGTTTAATAATCCAAAACTCCGAATTTTAATATTGATATTTACCATGCAACATCTAATTCGTCTTGATGTATCCTAAATAGTCAATTTAAGATGCACACTATGGTGTCGATGGCAAAAGTTATTTCTAAATCAAGACCTTTATATTCGACTCTCATTGGAGCTTCAAGTCGAATAGAACAATTATAGAAAATAAGTAATAGTATAAAAAATACGTTAAATGTTAATGTAAAAAAAATACTTACAAATGCGTTAATATTCGTTGGGTGATATCGTGCGCTTCATGATAACAAGGATCAAATCTCCCAGGGACATAGAACTTGCACACAATAGTTGGAATCTCAGTTCGAATACATGCATCCTCAATAAATTGCTCAGTATATTGTACAAATTCGGGGGTTGATTCCAATTTTTCTTCATAATAACTTTTTCAAGCCAGTTAAGTTGATCAATATCAAAAGTCTTTTTAACTGTTTTATATACCTTCTCGTCAGAGAGATCTGGTATCTGGTATGCCATTAAGACATACTGAAGTCATGTAATCCTCTCCTGATTCTTTATCTTTATTTTGGTATTCAACTAAGATACCAAGCAATTTATTGCGAATTTCTACTTCTTCCTAGGAGATTAAGTATGAATGAACAAAATATTATACATAAAGTTAGAAAAAAGTCAAAATACCTGTGCGAGACTCCTAATTTCGTCATCTTTATCCAAATCACTTTCTTCCGATTCGTAAACTGCGTTTTCATCCTCCTGTCATATAAAGAAAAATTATTATTTTCTGTATACTTTAAAACCAAATGAAAAAAAGACTCACAGGCTTTTGCTTTTTACTAGAGATACTTTCACTATCTTCCAAATTGCGTTTCTGTATTCTTGTATTTTCTTTAGTAAATTCTAAAAAGCCGTCAGAAACATGCTGATGGATCTTTGTTACTGATTCTGTATTGTTCCGTCATTGAGAAACCTGTAGCGTATCCATATCAAAATTATTTAGTACAGATAGCGTACTATAACAAGAGAGTCGTAAGTTACATGTATAAAAGAACAAAAAAAAGCACCTTTATACGTTCGATTTCGGCGAGATCAATAGCATTCTGACTTTCAATTTCGGCGAGATTAATAGCCTTCTGACTTTCAATTTCTTCTAATTTCTGTTTGGTCTCAAGCTGTTCGAAAAATTTATTGTTGTTTGTGAAGATTTCCATGCCTGCTATCATGAAACATGAGAAGAATGATTAAATTTGGCAAATAATACATAATAAAAATCAAACTCTCATTGTTTTTAAAGAACATAAAGGCCATGACGAACGAATAGTTCAACACAAGACAACGAATAGTTCTCCAGTGTGCCATAGGAGGCCAGAGAAGAGGACAGACGAATGGTCGGTCTTCCAGTTGACGAATAGTCCCCTGGCTCAGTCCAATATCTCCATTACCTCTTCAGATTTGCATCAACAGAAACAACGAATAGTTGCTTGTATTGAATACAATCCTATCCAACATAGACGCTACCTCAAACATATACCGTATACCTTAAAAGCTTTGTGTAAGTCAGACGCTTTCTGCCGTATATCTTCCTTAATCATATTGTTGTCAATAATCTTCTGGAGTCCTTTCTTCATATATAGTCCAGAATCTTCATTTTTTACACTCGAGCCTTTCATATGACGCACTCCAATCGGCGAAATTATCAAGGTTCCATAACGCTGGCAAAGCGAAGTATTCAGTCTCAATCATATTAATAGGGGAATTTTATTTGCGAGGAAAAAGAACGCGTATTTAGACTCTGGCGATCAAATATTTATTATCATGTGATTTGATCCGAATTTTATAATTATTTATGATTATCAATTACTTGGAACCTGGATCTAAAAGAACAAACTACTAGAAAGCTAGAATCAAGACATATAGTTATAATCTTTATGAATTATATAACATGGATAGTAAAATCTAAAGAGAAAATAGAAAAGATTTTAAAAATTGCAAAAATCTTTTATAATACCAATAATTTTTAAATTAATAATAACAAGTCTATTTTAATAATCACCAATAATTCTAATTACTATTCTAAAAAAGTTTAAGCAGGTATTGAAGAAGAAACAATTAAGGAACTTAATAGAGCAAAACAAGTCAAATTTTTAGGAATTGAATAAACAATAAAAAAACTACTATCAAATTTAAAGAATATGTATTTAAAGAAGTCAATATTATATTTAGAGTTTTAAAAAATAAAAAGATAATGAATAAACAAACTTTCTATATTCTAAATAAGATATTAATATCCAAAATAAAATTTAAAATGCAATATAGTATATTGTTTAAAAATATATATAATATCTTAAATACAATATAGCATATAAAAAACTTTTTAAGAATAAGAATATTTTATATAAATTTATATAAATAGTATAATTTATTATTATTATTATTATTATTATTATTATTTTAACTTAACTGATATTAGATGTGAGCTATTTATTAAGAATTAATTTAATATCTGGATAATGAAATCCTCAGCATTACATCAATCATCTCATACAAACTTATATATTTCTATATATATGCAGATTAATGATAAC